TCCTCACCACTGGACCAATAAACAACATTCTTATCAATGGAGGAAAGACTTCATTCTTCTTGGATCGACACACATGGAAGCAGCAGTCAAGACATCAAACGACATATTGTATTGGGCAAATCTGCTGCACAAGACCCTTTTAAAGTGTTGAACAGCAAAGATGTGAGCTTGAGGACTAAGGTGTACCTGACCCAAGCTGTGGTATTTTCAATAGCCTCATATGCATGTAAAAGCTGGACAGTGAATAAGGAAGACCGTAGAAGAATTGATGCTTTTGAGTTATGGTGTTGGAGGAGAATACTGAAAGTGCCATGTGCTGCCAAAAGAACAAACAGATCTGTGTTGGAAGAAGTGCAGCCAGAGTATTCCTTGGAGGTCAGGATGGCCAAACTTCGTCTCTCATACTTCAGACGTATTGTCAGGAGGGACCAGTCTCTGGAGAAGGATATTATGTTTGAAAAGAAAAAAGAGGAAGACCCAAGTAAGATGGATTGGCAAAGTGGCTGCATCAATGGGCTAAAATGTGGCAACAATTGTGAGGTTGGCCCAGGACTGGGTAGTGTTTCCTTTTGTTGCGCATAGAGTCTCTGTGAGTCAGTACCACCTCAATGGCACCTAACAACAACAACAAAGAGTCCTGGTGTGGCACTGTTGATTGATTAATGTGCCAGACTGCAAAGCCACTTGAACTTCAAGGTCAGTGGTTCAAGCTCACCACAGAAATCCTATACAGACAGGGTCACTATGGGTCGGCACCAACTCGACAGCACTTCACAACAAGGTATGCTGGTGTGGCTCTGTAGGTTATGCTGGTGCTGAAGGGTATAAGGCCAACAATTCACCCAGCAGCCACTCTGTGGGAGAAAAATTAGACCTTTTGCTTTCATTAAGACTTACAGCCTCAAGAACCCTATACAGAATCGTTTTGAGTAAGAACTAACTCAATAGCATCTAACAACAAGGTATCGAATAAGGCATCTTGGTGGCACTGTGCAATGAGCATTGGACTGCTAACTGTAAGGTTGGTAGTTTAAGCCCACCAGCTGTTCCTGGGGAGAAAGATGAAGCTGTCTGCTCCTGTAAAGTTGTACAGTGTCAGAAATCTTATATAAGGTCATGTCCTGGTATGGCACTGTAGGATAAACACTGGATTGCTAACCACATAATCAGTGGTTCAAACCCAGCAGCCACTCCTTGGAAACAACCCTAGACAAGGTTGCTAAGAGTTGGAACCGACTCAGTAATGCTTGTTGAACAATAACAACGAGTCAGAATTAACTTGAAAGCATTGGGGTTTTGTTTTTTTGGTTTGTTTTTTTAAGGTGTGGAATATACTTTATTAATCTCAAAGGAAAGAAAGAAAAAAAACAATGAGAAAGGATAAACATTCAAGGCATGATCAAGGGGCAAAGAAGAAAGTTTGTCTTTGCTATGGATGGTCAAATAGGGCCCTGGAAGGCCACTGGGCACAATTCTCTCATTTCCTGGGTCAGTATATCACAATGAATTAATCATGTACAAGGGCCCTTTCCTTGTACCATTTCTCCTCCAGCACACACCCAGACTACTACACTCTAATGAGACCGACTAGAAGCATGTTGTTTTCACTGGGTAAAAGCATAATTCATTCCATCATTTCCATTTTATTTCTGTTCAGTGTTTCAACCACAGAGTGGTGCTATTGCAAAAGCTAAGGGTGGGCATAAGGCAAGCTAGCAGAATTTGCTGGAGAAGAGAATTTTCAAGGGGGCTTTCAAACACTGGATCTGGTTTCTGCTCTCACAAAACAGTTTCAGGACTCAAGGCCTTCCCCTCAAAGGAAGCAAGAGAAAATGAAAGTTCCGTGACCTAAAAATACAATCAACAGATGGACAGCCAAGACAGAGACCATGGAGTAAACTTGGAGAGAGAAATTGCTTAGCTAAGCAAGAAAGATCTGGTTCTAGGTGGGCTTAGATCTTCAGGACTTCAATGGAGCATGGACCCATCAGCTCACTTCCCAGTTCTGCTCTTTGTTTTCACTGTCTATACCACCAAGGTTTTTGTTTAAAAAAAGAAAAACAAACACCAGCATCACCTTCACTCCCCACCCCCATTTAGAAAAACAGTCCTGGAGTGGTGCTACAGGATAAGCATAGGATCACAAGGTTAGTTTGAATCACAAAGTAGGTGGTTCAAAACCATCAACTGCACCTTGGAAACCCTTTACAGGGTTGTTATGGGTCAGTACTGGTTGAAAGGCACTTAACAACATTTAGAAAAACATTTGCATAGAAGTCGCACTATCCCGCAATTCCAAAACAACTACATTCTGAACAAGAATCTTTTATTCTATCTTTGAAAAAAAAGTTGGCCCTTTTTCTTCCACCTTCATCTTTTATCACCTTGTCACTCCCTTGAAAACCTTTGGCAGAAGGGGATCAAGGTGAGTCCCTAGCTCTCTTTAAAAGGCAAAAGAGTTCATCTTTAGTTCTGACAAAGAAAGAAAAACAGTAACGGAAAAGGCAGGTTGCCTGCCCAAAAGAGATTATCTGAAAACGGTCTTCCACTTCCACAAAGAAAGCAGTCCTTAGGAAAATGCATCTTTTACCTCTGCCTCTGTCTGCTTCTCTCACTCTTCCTCTCTCCTTCCCTCAGCCTCCCCCAAAAGGCACCGCACATATTTGGCAAGATTAAGGTGTCACCTCTCATATTACAAGGCATGCTAATGGTACGCAAAAACAGACCCACCAGCTCAGGACAAAACCCCCACGAGTTGAGAAACAATGCAAACTCCCCTTGCGATTGCCTAGGTCTTGGCAAAGCAAGACCGCCAGCCAGTGCAAAGCGTCTGTGGAACAAATCGGGTCTTAAACTCACTATTGCCTTTTTTTTTCTTCTTCTGATTTCTCAAATTTAAGTTTACTACCCCTTTTGCCTCCTCCCTGCCCAATGCCGGTGACCTAGGACAGATCAGTCCCACAGTTTTTTAACCCGTCTCTCGCTGCAACAAGGATCTTTCCCTGAAATCTTCTGGCTCCCGGATGATTTTGGAGCCCTAAGAAAAGAGCCAGTGACTGGGGTTTAAGAGCCCCTACAACTCTGCTGGTGGAGCTGAACCGAAGGCCTGAATCCCTCTTTTGACAGCAGAAGGAAGGGGGGGGGGGGGGGAGGCGGGCCAGAGTCAGGGGGAGAAAACCAGAACCCCACAGTGCACGCCCAACCCCTGCATCTACGGTGCTGTACGTTGGGGTGGAAGGAGAAACTAGGCAGTCTAACCTGGGCGCGCTGAGGACCTCGATATTTTGGCGCGGGGAGAACCATTGAAAAGAGGACCCTGCCCTTCCGAGGGACCGCAGGAGGTGACGCCCTGGGTCTCGGTGGGCGCTTCTGGTCGTTTTCGATGTGGCAGTCCCCATCAACCAGGATAATGATGAGGCAGGTACAATCTATCTAGTAGCGGCTCCCAGACTCCCTGCCCCTTTCCACCTCCCCTCCTCTTCCTACCCTGCGGCCTCTGTGATTCGGGTTTGGCCTGATCTGGTAGTCACAGCTCTGGTGCTTCTCAGCGTTCGACAGTTCCAAGGCATTTGGATGTATTGAGCTTGGGCCCTGGCTGCTTAGTGGATGGAGTAGGCTGCTTATTAAGCACTTAGGACGGTAGAACCGGAGAGAAACGGGCTAGCCATCCCCTCCCCCAATCGCGTGGGATCAAAGGTCTTGGGTAGAGGTGGGTGAGGAGTGGCATCTTGAGATGGCAGGGAGCTAGAGGTGGGGGCTCCGAGGTGACATCCGCCACCTAAAGACCCTTTGCCGGGAGGCCAGAGTAGGGCAGGATCGTAGAACTCCGCTATCAGATTCTGGATTTCTCCCTTAAGTGATATTTCCCCTCACTTCTAACGATGGCAAATGGCGAAAACAAGATGACTTAATTGGGTAAATTTAGAGAGAAGGAGCTCTGAACAAGTGAGGTCTAACGGATAGCTAAAATTATCAGCTATTCTTTTGCAAAGTCCAACTTTGGAAAGAAAAGAGATTTTTGCCCCCTCCGCGGATCTTTTTTCTCTACTGAATCTACAGGGTGGGAAAGTGAGCCGATACTTTCGTGGCGCTAAGAAGAGGTTTGTTTGTCTGCTTATCTTTACTGCTTCCCGCGCTGTCTCCCTCGTGCAGACTGGTGGGTGCTGGGCGGGTGCTGAGCTACAGGGCCCGGACGGTCCTAATTTGGGAGGAAGGGGCTTTAAGAAGTTGGAGGCTCGGATCCATCCCACACACCCTCCACGGTCAGACACACACGCACACACACACAGCCGCCCCTCTCCCGACCCCTGAGCCCGTACCCCTCCTTCCCAGCCCCCTGGCCTCTCTGACCTGACCTCCCTCGACAGCCTGCTCAGCGCCCCCAGTCCGGGTCACCCGGAGCTGAGTGCTCGCTGGGGAGCGAGAGTCCTGGGGAGTGTTTGGTTGTGGGGTTGGGGGAGAAAGTGACGGGCAAGCAGGGTAGGGGGTGGGGAGAGATCTGAAGCAGGAAGGATCTGGAGTTTGGAGGAGGGGTTTACACTTCAAACTCTAGCCGTCAGAGGAGAGGGGCAAGAAAGGACCTTCTACTTTGCAAATAAATAAATTAAAATGCAAAAAAGTAAAGATACATTTTTAAATGACCACAGATACATTTTTCAAGAAAAAGAACAAGTAAGACGGAAGACACTAAAATGTAAAATACAGTGTAAAGTGGAATATTTCGTTTTCTCCTGGATTTCTTAAAAGGAAATGGGGGGAGAGGGTATAAAGAAATATTGCTGATTTGCAAATTTGCTTGTTATTTTTATTTATTTTTTAAAAGAGAGATTGGAAAAAAACGAGCCCGTGCCCCAACTGGCCCCCAGGTCTCAGTCCTGGGGCGCGGGCCGGGCGGGGGCTGGCGGTGCGGCGTGGAAGGGGTTAAGGCGCTGAGCGCAGAGCCATCTGGCCGGGTTGGCTGGTTATAACCGCGCAGATTATGTTCACGGGACTCAGAGTTGAAGGCTCCTCTCCCTACCGAACAGCTCCGCGCACAGCCCCTGCGACTGAGCCCGACCTGCAACTTTCTTCTTCTTCTTTTTTTTTTTTTCTTTCTTCCTTCCTTTCTCCCCTGCTGGGTGGTGGTGGCGGCGGCGGTGTGGTGGGGGACTTTGAATGACCGAGCTCTCGTCCACCTTTCTCTTCATGTCGACGTCCCTGGAAACAGTCACACGGATGCCATGGTTACTTCTGCCACGGTAAGGGGAGGCAGGCTCGGAGGGTAGGCAAGTTCGGGGTGGAAAGCCACGTGTGAGTTTTTTTTTTTCCAGGGGACTCGAGCAGCGGGCAGAAGAGCAGGGTCTGCCCCCAACTTCGCACCCCGCCCCACCCCCACCGCGCTGCACTCCCTCGCTTCCGCGGGTTTGTGTCTGCCCGAAGTTTGCACTGGGCTCTGCGGAGCCCGGGGCTTTACGACCCTCCTCCCTCAACACATTCACAAGGACACCTCTCCCCACCTCTCCGTCTTGTCCCTCGGCTGCGGGAGAATCGGCCCTCAATCTGGGAAAGTGATGAGGTTTAAAGGACCTGGATTCGAAATGGGGTGGAGGCAAAGGGAAATTGGGGCGACGGAAGGGCAGGAAAGAGATTCAACAGAACAGCTCCCCCAACCCTCGTCTGCTCCTTCGGAGAAGGCTCCCCACTCATCCCGTAACAAAAGGGGGTGGCCGACACAGTCCCAACTAGGTAGGAGCTTCCCGGGACGCGCTCCGCACCCCGCTTTGGTTGGCGTGGGCCCTCCACTCGCATTCCCTACTCCCCGAGCCCGGGCGTGGGATGGGGGAGGGGGCCCGGAGCCCGGGACCGGGAAGGTAGCTTCCCAGTTTGGGGAGTTGGGACTCCTTGTCCCGCGCTGCATACCTGCTCAGGAGTTCTCCACACTGTGAGAAAGCTTCCCTCAGAAAGGATCCCTAGACACCGCTGGTCTTGATCAACTCTTACCCCCGCAACTACTCTACCCTGGGTCTCTGTGCAGATGTTGGGACTCTGTGCGCTGTCTGCACATCTGGACACTGCTGGGGAGCGATGGGCTCTGGGACCCAAGCATTCCTGAGGATTGAGCTCTAGGTCTAGGAGCCAGTTCTAGGAACTTCGAGGTGTAGGAAGGCTGGGAAACCCGGGGACGGGCTGAACAGGTCCTAATGAAAGAGGACCCACAGCAGACTAAATTGCCTCTTAGCCCCAGAGTTGTGCTCAGTGTTGGATGCTCCTAATGAAATCTGGGACTCTTGGTAGTTGAAGACTAGGGAAAGGAGGTGCGGGCGGGGGAAGGGCACTCTGAGGATTGATTTGGACAGGAGTAGGTGGACTCCTGGCGTGGCGCTGTAGGATCAACACTGGACAAGGTCGTCCGCTCAAACCCACCAACTGCTCCTATATAGAGTCGCTATGAGTCTGAATCGACTCGAGGATACTTAACAACAACAAGGTGCGCTATGAGAAGGCGCCTTTTCCTTTTTGGAGTTTGGTTGCTACTTTCCTCTTGTGCACTTCAGATGCACGGAGCAGAGACCCTGGTGCGGAACCGGGTGAGGGCTGTGGACTAGAAAGGATCCTGTCATTGGATCCGTGGCTCAGGTGCGATTCAAGGTAGAGGAACCACTGAACAAGAATGTTTCGCCTCGACCTCTGGCGGCGGGCGGCAAGTTCAAGGCTTAAGTCTAAGCGACAGCACAGGACACAGCCTGTGCGCTGGGCTCAGTGCTGGAGAGCTCGGAAGTCTAAGCTTCTGTGGACTTGTTTATGTGTGTGAAGAGGGGCCGATGATAAGGAGGGGAGGAGAGAATAAAAAGGGGTGGATGTTGCTCCTGCAGTCTCATTACAGAATGCTGGGAGAGACCTGCTTTTTAATAAAGGTCAGCAAAACAGCAATGGAGAAAAACGTCTAAGCTGTTTACAGTACCTGGGAGGATGGGAGAAAGTTGTAACATAGAGGGAAATTTTCAATGGCTGCTCTTTCCAAAGAGGAAGAAATTCACCAGCATACCCGGCCTGAATTGTTGTTGCACAAAGAAAGTTGAGGGTAGAATTCAGGGGATCAAATCCAACTGCCTCCACTTGGGTTCAAGCACAGAGACTTGGAGTGGAGGAAAGTAAAACCAAGCAAGCTCCTGTGAGCTGAATTGGAGGAAAGTAGAAGGGTGGGTGTTTGCTATAGGTAGAGTGTGTGAGATTTTGTGTTGGTGTGGTTGTTGTTAATTGCAAGTGGAAACTGCTCTGGATGAATGGAGTCGGCTTTCCAGTGGAGGGAGATTGTGCTGCATTTGGTCAGCATGGGAGGGTTTTGGAAAGTCTCTGGGTGTGAGAGTGTGTGTGGAGGGGTGCAAAAGAGCAAGAGCTAATTTAAGCTCTGTGTGCACGCAAGTGTATGTTTCCAGGGCATCTGTGGGATGGGCATATGTGTGAGGAGCAGGAGAGGAGAGCATGTGGAAACATAGGTGTAGCTGATGGGAAATCTGTGCCTGAAAGAGTGTCAGAGCAATAGAGGTACAGTTTTGGAGACAGATGGCTCGCGCATGCCTGCACAGACACATGGAATGGATGTGATGTGGGAGGATGGCTGTGTGTGTGTGTGTGTGCATGTGTGTGTGTGTGAAAGAGAGAGAGAGAGAGAGAGAAAGGTGAACTTATATGGAAGGTTGGGTGCTTGAGGATTACCAAGGGGATGTGTGTGGGGCTGGGGAAAGATTTTCTCTGAGGAAAACAGTGTGAACTTTATGAATGTACACTGAGAAATTTGACTGGATGGCATTGAGGTGCGTGGGGGCTCAGACACTTTATGGAGAGAGCAAACAGTGCTAGGTTGGTGTTTGCCTTTTGTTTTATTTTGTTTTTTGTTTTTATCCCAGAGGAGGGAATTGGAGGAGGTGTACATTTAAGGGGAAAATGCCTTGTGTATTGGCACTGGGTAAAGAAGATGAAAGAATGTGTACTTAAGATTGGAGTGAGCACAAGAATATATTTTGCATGCTTCGTGGCAAGGATGCATGTTTATAATGTTGTATAATGGGTTTCATACTTAATAGGGGATTCACTGTCACCAATTAATATTGATTATTAATTAAAATTTATGGAATGCCTACTGGATGCTCAGCCCAATGCTAGTACTGAGGCATGGCACAGTGCCCTGGAAAAATTCCTTCTTAGGGCTCAGCTGACTTCTGCAATTTTGCCTGGAGGAAGGGAGTAGAGTTCCATGTTCACTGAGTTTTCTTCAAGGTCTGTAATTCAGTGTCTAGAGATGTTTGTGGATCTTGGGGGCCAAAGGGAAGATGCCTTGAGATATATCTGTGGTTTTGTAAAAAATGGAGGGACTTAAAAATAGGAATGATGTATGAATTGTGTGCTGAGGAGAGAGCTGGAGGGTGTTACTGTTTCTTGTAGGAGTGTGGGTTGGGATGGGGGTTGTTGCGTGCCAGGTCAGAATGCAAGACCCCTACACATTGGAAGATTGGGTTTCTGAGAATGTATAGTGCCTCCTTATCAACAGGAATGAAGACTGTGCTGCTGGAAAAGTAGAACTGGTAATCTAAGAAGATGCAGGTTGGATGTGTTCATGAATCTTCGTTGTTTTCTGATTTACTAATGAAAAGCTAGTACTGTATGTGAGCTCCCACGTGGGTTTGTGTGAGCTTTTGTGTGGGGGTGAGCTTGTATGCTGCAGGGCTGGAGTAAAATAACTGGGAGAAAGCTAGCTAGGAGGATAGGTAGGCATATTCTAGCTCTTGTGAGATGGTGTGGGGTGGGCGTATTTGCAGGAATTCTGTAAAAGGTTGAAAATCATCTTGAATGCTTAGATGGATAGCCCAATGAACAAGCTGTATATAAAAGAAGGGCTATAGGTTTGGGAAGCATTTGAAATTTCGTTTGGGGAGTGAAGGGAAATTACAGGTACACCCTGAGGTTATACTGACATGACAGGATCAGGTCAGGACTAAGTGTATACATGCACCTGCTTGGACCAGATGATAGGAAACTCCATCTTATCAGGCTCTGTAGCCATGTGAGGGTGTTTGTTTGGAAAGATTGTATTTGACTCATGGCATTTCTTAATTCACAAAAGTATAGTTGAGCCATCTTGACGCTCCACCTCATTTTTTTTAGGAGGAATTCATTTCTTTATTTAAGAGCTAGACCTAGAGATATTGATGATGTTGTTGTTGTTAAGTGCTGTCGAGTCATTTCCAACCCATAGCGACCCTGTATAGGGTTTCCAAGGAGTGGCTAGTGATCTTAAACCGCAGATCTTGTGGTTCACTTGGCTTTGCAGTCTGACACGTTAGCCCACAGTGCTATACCAGGAAATAGTTGATGGCTAGTGTTAATAAGAACTTTCCAAGTAGGGATGTGACCATTGGTTGGCAAACTTGATGGTGGATGCTTTTTAGGACAATGTGGTGGTATGAAAAACTCTAGATGGGGCAAAACTTAGATTCTAGTTCAGTTCTCACACTTCAGAGCAGTGAGACGTTGGGAAGTTTTCTAATCTCTGTGACCCTCAATTTCTCTGTACAATGGCATTGTGTATAATGACTCCTTGAGGAGAAAAAGTACACTCCTCTTTTCCTCCAATTGAAGCTTGTTGGGTTTTGGAGCACAAAGCTCTACTAGGAGGTGAAGTTGAATTGAATGCATGTGCTAGTGCATATCTAAATTGTTGTAACAATGAGATCTGCACCTCTATCCCTTTACTGTGAAATCTGATAAAATTGTCTTGAAGTCCATAAGTTACTGTGTAAATGGAACTTTGTATAACTGTCTCAGTTTACACATCCATCAAATGGAGGTAGCCAAATGTAGATGGTACTTAACAACAACAACAAAAATATAGATTATAGGTGATAGAAATCTGTATCCATAAAATCTATGAACTACTCATGAAAAGGGTGCTCCAAAAGTAAGTATTATTTTATATCAGAGACATACATTTTCCTATTGTTTCCTATTATATAAGGAGTCCTGGTGGGGTGCTGGGCCACAAGGCTGATTTGAACCAGAAGTCAGCAGTTCAAATCTCACAAGCCACTCCTCAAAAACCCTATACAGTGTCACTATGAGTTGGAACCAACTTGATGGCACATAACAACAACAATAACAATAAGAATGTACGGTAAGCACTGGGCTTCTAATCCCTAAAATTAGTAGTTCAAAACCACCAGCCTCTCTTCAGAAAAAAAAGATTAGGATTTCTGCCCTCATA